TTAAACAACTCATAAAACAGTGGTTATTGTGAAATTCACAGATGACTTTGAAATTGAATCATTGATTGGTTGGGGGCTGGAGATCAAGCCTACAAATGAGGTACATGCCCTTGACCCGAATCGAATCTGGGACCCTTCAGTTTGCAGGCCTATGCTCTATCTGTTAGGTTAGGTGGCTCAGGAGGCGGCGTAGGAAATAAAGAGAGTCCAGTTAATCAGAAAAGAAAGAAAGGAAAGGCTTTATTCTGCGTCCCCGGGCTGTTGGATATCTGTATATTATTCTTTATTTCAGTCAGTGTATGCTTAATTTCTAGTTGGTCTTTTTTCATATCCTCCAGGGTCTCACTAAATTTATCAGCGGTTTCTAGAAAATTCTTGAAAAACCTTATAACTGTGGTTTTGAATTCTATATCCAGTAGTTTGCTTTCCTCCATTTCTGTCATTTGTGTCCTGTTTCTTTGTCTCTGCATTTTTTTATGCTTCGCTGTGTCGATAGAGTGGCTTTCTGTGCTAGGTGTCCTATAGGGCCCAGTGGTTCAGCCTCCCCAATTACCTGAGGTAGACACTCTTGGTGCACCCCCTTGTGGGCTTTGTGCACAGTCTTGTTTGTAGTTAAGCCTTGATTGTTGTAGGTAACACTGGGAGGGATTGACCTCCAGGCCAATTGGCTGTGAGAATCAGCTGTGTCTGCAGTGGGAGAACTTCTGTGCTGGAGACACCCCTATGGGGCAAGACTTGCTTCAGTGGGGCTTTGGTGCTCACTGAGTCTGCCCCCTGAGTGTGTCCTTTATGAATCCGAGGAGCTGCAATCTGGATGGTCCCACTCTGACCACTGGGCACACTGGCTCCTGGATCTCTAAAGAGGTGCTAATCTAGCCTCTGCCTGAGGCTATCCAGCAGGAGCCAGCTGTGAAGCAATGCAAGTTGCCCTGGGGCCTTGGGCCAGCTGCAGTTTGTTAGGTAATTATCAGATTGCAAAGGGCCAGGCCTTTCATATGCAAAAGCCTCTGTGCATGGCTTGGGTGGGGCGGGGTCCCAGGGGATCAACAGGGCGGAGCAAGCAGTTATGGCTGCTCTCAGTCCTGCCCTCAGAGGCCCCGCTTCTCAGTGTCCTGGCAATCGCTGCAAGCACCCCTGAGAGAAAGCTGCCCTGGAGTTCCAACCAATGCCAGACAGTCCAGTTTCTCCCGTATGAGTCTGGGTCCCCAGAGACTCACCCGGAACTGGAGTTCAGAGCAGTCAGGAGCTTGAGACTCCCTCCCGATTGAAAAAGACAATCGTGTCCTCAGCCACCAGCCCTCTCCGCATGCGCCTCCGTACCTTACTTCCGCACCGCACCTCTTCTGAGTCTCAGTATGCTTTTCTCTTTCCTTCTAGTTGTAGAATTTCCACTCAGCCAGCCTTCCTGTGGTTTTGGATGATGTCCATTCCGTCTTTTAGTTGTATTTTTGAAGTGGTTGTGTGAGGCAGGAGGCAGCAATCTCCGGTGTTTACCTATGCCGCCATCTAGGTTTTTCTGGGGGGCGCTTTTATTTATACAGCTGTTCAGTGAGGGTGGGGGAGCATGAGCTGTGGGAGTTCCCGCTGCGGGGGTCCTCAGTTTCCAGGTGTGGTCATCTGCCTGGTAGCTGACCTGTTAGGAATTCCAGGGCGGGACCTGTATCTGCGTCACCATTTGCCTGGTGCACTGGCCTGTTACGAATTCTAGGAAGGGCCCAGTATCTGCATCACCATCTGCCTGGCGGAGGCATGCATCAGCTCCTGGACCCCCTTTCGACCTAACACTATCCACTAAGCCAAACCGCCTAGGGCTTACTAAGCATTTCTTAAAAGTGCATTATATTAAAAACTACCAAGAAAAATTCAAGTTGTGATCGTGTTCAAACAACTATCTCACCATTCTCTTCCTACCTTCCAACAAAACTAAAATACAAAGCATCACTTTGTTGTTAACTTTCCTTCCACAGGGTGGAGTTAACGATTGGTGGGGAGTATCTGTTCAGAGAATCTGCAAAGAAAAGATACTGAGGACTGAAGTGAGAGCCCTCCAGGAAATAATCTAGACTGGTTCACCAATTACTTTGAGTCAGTGGTGTTGTCAAATTATCCATCCATCCATCGTTCATTTACTTAACAAAAACGGATATTTAGGAGTGCCTACTATGCAGCAGGCATGATTCCAGGTGCTGGGGATACAGCACTATATAAAACAAAGTTCTGACTTCGTAAAGCTCACATTCTAGTTATAAGAAACAGACAATGAGCACATGCCAGGATATTAAAAGGGATTGGAGGGGTGGAATTTTACATGGAAGGGAAGACTGAAATGGAATTAGGGAGTAAGATATGAGGCTAAATGGAGGAAAAGTATTCCAGAGGGAGTAATTGCAAAGGTCTTCAGGCAGGAGACTGCTTGGTGTGTTCCAGGAATAACAAAAAAGTCAATGACCAGAACTGAGTGAGGGAGAAAGTAATAAGAGATGAAATCAGAGAGGTGACAGAGTCTCCTGGGCCATTCATTATTGGGACTTTGGGTTTCAGACTGAATCAGAAGGAACTGCTTTGACTCAAGGCTGTAGCAGCGGTTCTCAACCTGTGGGTCGCGACCCCTGAAAATACATCCTGCATATCAGATGTTTACAATACGATTCATAACATAGCAAAATTACAGTTATGAAGTAGCAACGAAAATAATTTTATGGTTGGGGGTCACCACAACATGAGGAACTGTATTAAAGGGTTGCCGCATTAGGAACGTTGAGAACCACTGCAAGGGTCACCCAGGCTGATGCATGGAGGTTAAGACGGTAGGAGGCATAGAAGCATGGAAGTGGAGCTATTGTCCTAATCCAGGCGAGAGATGACCACAGCTTGGACCTGAGCAGTAAGAGGTAGCAGTGGGAGATGACTCAGGCCTGCAGCTACATGTCCCAGTGCACGGTTAGAAAAAGTTTATAGTCTGGCGACTATACGTAACGATGCTGTGTTGCATATTTGAAAGTTGATAAGAGAGTAAATCTTATAAATTCTCAAAGGAAAAAGGATGTCCCTTCTGGGGCTCAGGCTGACTTTCAGTTCCCACTTGCCCCCTCATTCCTCCTGTGAGGGCATAGAAGTGAGTGAACGCTAAGCCTTGCCCTCATTCCCTAAAGCATTTTACAACATGCAGTGGGGCCTCCTGTTTTCTTGGGTCAGTAACTTCCCCAAGTCTTTTCTGCTGTCATCCCTTGTGCAGGTTTGTCTGCACCTGAACTCCTTGATGGGCTGGAATGTTTTCTTCAAATTTTAATATTTATGGGGGCATTTTTACATGGAACTGTTTATGGGGGCATTTTTACATGGAACTGTTGGGGAGGGGGGATAGCACTCCCCAAACCCCATACCACCCCTCTACCCTTCTTGAACACAAGGCCAGATTCACAGGAGAAAAACCAATTTAAAATGTGGGCATGGGAAATCATAGATGATGGTCTGAGAAAGGACAGACTAGTCATCTTTTAATACTTCTTAAACAAACAATAAATTTGTGAAGAATCAACAGGACAGGTTTGGATGCTTGTTGGTGAGGAATCTAAACCAAGTTTGGGCTTGGACAGTTACCTAGTAACAAGGTTTTTACCTTAAGCTCCTTCCCCGTCCCCCGCCTCTGGGTTCCCTAACTCGCGCGATCAGAAGGGCACCTTTCACATGGGGGTCTTGATCTCCTGCTTTCTGGGGGACAGGAGAGAGGCCAGAAAGTTCTTGCATTGGCAGTTTCTTAAGTAACTTTAATTCAAAATAATATGTACTGTGGGATATTTTGCGTCGGCCTGCCCTGTTCCCATACAACACAAACAGAAAACTTTGGAAGCATAAACTTAATTTATTTGGAAATTGCAAATAAGGCTGATTTTTTTCACCATGCATCCTTCCAAAGTTTACCACAGCTCCGCTGGGGATCCGGGTCGCTCAGAGGCACTGGGCGCTCTCCTCCGCCGATGGCCGCCCCCCGGGAGACCGTGCGTGGAGCGAAAGCTAATCCTCTCCGCTCCACCCTTCCCCGCCCCATCCCGCACCCTGAACCGGGCCAGCGGCGCCTGGGCATGCGCGAGGCGGAGGCGCGCGGCGGGCGGGGGCGGAGGCCCGAACGCCCAGTCAGTAAACCACCGAGAGGCGGAGACATCCCAGTTTCCTAGAGGAAACAGGTGTGTGCGGGGCTGGCGAGGGGTAGTGGGGCCAAAAAAAAAAAAAAAAAAAAAAGGACCGACCCGGAAGTGAAACGGAGGAGCTTCCGTTCTTTGTTCTGTCCCCTGGGGGGGTGGGTCTTGTGACAGTGTCCAGCGGGGGCCTGGTCCGTTGTCCGGACCCCCCCAAGTTTTTCCGTCCCTTGCCTTCCAGGGTGAGTCCGGGCCCGCCCCTCGGGGGCTTCGCGGGGGAGACGGAAGGCGGTGGTCGCCCGGGAAAGGACCGTTGGTGTCCCGCGCCCGCTGCGGCCCCGTGGGGGTTCCCCGAAGCCC